GTCTAGGTCCCTGATGGTATTCCACAAAGACTATCATCTGTGTGGATGGGGAGGTTATCACCATCCCTCAGATGGGCAGGAAGTGGGAGTGCTCTGTGTACAAGTATCCCATCTGTTCAGAGTTTCCCATCCCAGAAATCATAAACCCTCCCAGGACATGGCCATTGTTTTCTTCAGCTGAGTCACTCTCCCAGTCCTGCTTGTAGCTCTTGTGTCTGCTCTGGAGCCTGCTCTCCCTGCTGGGCATAACAAAGCACTCGTATTTAATGTAAATTAAAAACCCCATTGCCAAAAGCTCAGTGCCTTCAAAGAAGGAGTTGTGAGGATGAAGGTGACAGAAGTATAAACAGGATTTTCTCTTCTGTTTTAGCTGCTGAAACATCTGGGACTGCATCCTGATGCCCCCCCCCTTCCCCCTGCTGCTGTGCTCTCCATAGTCGAGTACCCAGAGGAGAGGCTGGGCTCTGCAGAGCGTGTGGAGCCCTTCAGCATTGTGGCACCAGAAGGTGCTCCTATAGAAGAGGATCTGGTGGGTGCTCCAGTGGTGCTGGCACTGAAGGTGCCAGGGCAGGGACCAGGCTAGACGGGGACAGCGGGGCAGGTTGAATGGAAAGGGAGCATTGTGGAGAGGCAGTGAAGATGTGATGGGGTCCCATATCTGCAGGTCTGCTTTCTGTCAGGTATGGGACAAAAGAGAAAGTTCTGCTGGAGACAGAGCAGTTCTGTAAGACAAGAGGGGGGAAAAGCACTTTAAACCATGAACTTCCTTTGAGGAGAGGGTCCTGAGTGAGCAGGGGTGTCCTAGGCAAAACAAACACCAGTAAGGGAGACCAAGTCCATGGACAGGTGGACTTATTTATTTTTTCTCTCTTCCGTTGGTGAACAAACCCTCCTTTTGCTTTCCAGGATGGGGATGTCTCAGGGCTCACCTCTCTCTCCCTCTTCTCTCTCCCCTTAGCCCAAGGCCCCAGATGTGAAGGTCAGTTCTTCCAAGGGCCATCCAAAGACAGGTAAAGCAACCAGCAGAGACACCTCTGCAAAGGAGAAGCATATCTCCACACAGAGAGCAGAAAGTCCCCGGGATTCCTCTGCAACAGGATCCAAAAGTACAGTGGGAGGTGCCTCAGTCCCCACAGAATTCCTCAGGTGAGCTGCACGGGAGGAGGTGATGCCTCTGCTTCTTGGTCCTCTTGCCAAACAAGGTCCATCGTCCCCAGCTCCACAGTGAGTCTGTGCCAGTGCTGGGGGATGGCGAGTGCACCCTCCTTGTTCTGTTGGCTCCTCAGCAATGTCTGAAGCCTCCTCCTAAATTGCCAGGCTGAAACGGTACCGGTGGATAGTGCCTGCCCACGGTGAGGTGGAACTGAAGGTCAACTTCTCCGCCAAAAAGCCAGGGAGGTTTGAGCAGACACTGAGGTTTGAGCTCGTGCAGTCAAAGCGCCAGTACGAGCTGCCCTGCTGTGGCACCGGCCTGTACCCCAGCATCTGCCAGAACCCACGGTAAGGCTGGGCCCTGGCAGCCTCCCACAGCACAGCTGNCTGGCTCTGGGCTTGTCTTGGCACTGCCTTTAGAGGTGTCTTTAGGTCCATGGTGTTGAGTTGCACCTTCTTCATCATGTCCCTTCACCAAAACAGTGGGATTGTGGTATGGGCAGGCGTGGGGCACAGAGCAAACCTTGCTGTGGGTCCTGGTCCTGCCACAGCATTGCAAGTCCTTGCAATGCTGATCTGCCAGGGTTCTCCTTATGGTGGGACAGCACCCATGAAAGCTCATGTCCTTTAGGCTCCCCTGCAGCTGCAGCAGTAGGCAAGCCCAGGAGAAGCTCTGCTTCAGCAAGGCAGCCCAGCTCAAGACACATAGGCAAAGTGTGGAGATTGGGAGTGTGTGGTGGTTTGACCAGAAACAGGATTTCTGGGATGCTGTGGTCACCAATAGGTGCTCAGATTCTAATATTGGTGCCTGATGTGGCCATTGGGACATTGGATCCACCTCTGAGAACACAGGGTTAAAAGCAGGGCTCCCCCATGGAAGGTTCTCTTTGGATTTCAGGCAGGAGAGTTTGATCTCTCCCCCAGCCCAGCTGCTGGCTGTGCAGGGAAGGGGAAGGCCATGCAGCCTGGGAGAGGTGGGCCTGACCCTGAGGGGCCCAAGGGTGGAAGCATTGAAGAACTACTGAGAGGTATTCCCCTCTACACACTTCTGGGAGACAGAGAGAGAAACAGAGCTGTGCCTTAGAGTTACCCTGAAACTTGATAAACACGTGTGGCAGCAAGGCTGAGAGGGAGGAAAGGGGGGGGGGAGGAGCCAGCGATGTGTCCAGCTGCTTGTGGGAGCTCTTAACCCCTTTGTGGACAATGAAAACTTTACAGAACATTAACCCTTCCTGGAAGAGTGATGAAGGTCTGGGCAGAGAGAGAGATGTTGGAAGAATGGAGAAGATGTAGTGGCATTTTTTGCTGGACTCTTTTTTTTTTATAGCCATGGACTGTTTCCTTGTGATACAGAGACTGCTTCCAGGGGGGGAAATGCCTCAGAACCAGGAGGGTTCAGTGTGGGTACCCCTCGGCACCAGGGCGTGCAAACAACATGGGGGGCACAGATGTCCCAAAGTTGAGACTGTGTCTTTTTGGAAAGAGACAAGGCATCCTTAAAAGGAACCCCAGAAGCAGCCCTGGTCCATGCGCAGTGGTGAGAGCACTGAGCATGGAAGGAAAATGTCACGATGGCAAAGGATCTCCGGGCAGTGCCACGCATGGCAAGAAGTCCATGGCACAAAGAAGGACTCCTTCTCCTCTTGATGAACTGAGGATTGAGTATTCTAAAGGGTGGTGCTGGACCAAGAGTTGGTGATTTGGGGGAATGTATCGTATTGGAATTTGGTGGGGGGAGGAGGAAAATGTTGGCCTCAGGGTCAAGGAATGAAGTGAAGGGCCAGCCAGGACTGGTGACTCTCAGCAATGTTTTCTGTTTTGTTTGCTGAAGGGAGCTGAAGCAGCTGGCTCGAAAGCTTGAGCAGGAGGCAAAAGCCTTAGAGAGGCGGAAGGAGGAAAAGAAGGGTGTCTCCATGCAGAAGCAAACTCCAAAACCAGCGAAGGAGGAAACCAGATCACCCGAGGGGAAGGAAGCCTCTGAGACCGGAGAAACCAAAGCCCCTGAGACCGGAGAAACCAAAGCCCCGGAGAAATGGGAAACCAAAACTGCAGGGATGGGGGAAACTGAAATCCCAGAGGACCCAGCTGAGATGGAGAACTTGATCCTGAGGTTTCAGATTTATGATTCATCTCAGCAGAATGTTGCAGAGGTTTTCTCCTGCTGGGACAGGGTTCAGGGTACCGTGCAGTTACCTGTGATCCCAAAGGGAAAGTCTCCAGCTGAAAACAAAGGTCAGAAGACCAATAAGCCTCAGGAGAAGGTGGAGAAGAAGCCTGAACAAAAAAGTGGAGACCAAAGGAGTCTTCAGTCATCTCAGCTGGGGACGCGAAGCGAAGCTGCCGAAGGAGCAGTCGGAGACGAGCACATTGGGGTGCCGTGCCTGGACATTGAGGTCTCAGATCCAAAG